GCGTCGTGATTGCAGTTGCAGCGAGGTGCACTATGCACCCCGCTGTTCAAGGAGCTCTGTGTTACTCTGGCCCTTGCAGGCACCAAGTGTGGATGCCGTCACTGGAGTCTTGCCTGTGCCAGTTGCTACCACGCAGCACTGCCTTGCATCTTCCAGGCCCATTTCTTCCCCCAGGAAATGGGGTAGGGCATCTTGAAAGCTTGTGCCAGCTCACACTGACCACCTGTACCAAGCGTTTCACGGCCTGTAATAAAAACTGCAGCAGACTCAGCTGCAACGCTTGCCAACGCTACACCCCAACACCTGCTCCACCTGCTATGCTTGCTGCTGCTCTCTGATGAGTCTCATCCCCAGTCATGTTCAGGAGCTGGGCTCTTGCCCTCCTGGGAGAGGCAGGCAGGGTACTGGGGCCTGTCCTGACACTGCGGCGATCTCGGGGGCACTGCAGGCAGCGGCTCCCCAGCACTTCTTGGTGATAACGTCTTGTTGTAGAGCAGGGAAATCAGCCATCAGGTTAATTGGGAATGGCATCGCAGCTGGGAACAGCTGGGAACGGCATCTGTCCTTGCAAAACACTCACGCCTGCTAATTTTATACCTAGTCAATGCAAAGACACGTGGCACGGCGCTTCGAAAGGTGCTTCTGTCGGCACACGCGAGGTGATGGAAGCATGCCAGCCGCCATCAGTCCACCAGGCAGCTTCAGGTCCTGGAAACCCAGGCTGCTTTCTCCACTCCAGGTGAAATGAGAACGACTGCTCAAGAGGTGAATGCTGCATTGCAATGCTTAGGCATGCCGGGTGGTTGTCAAAGCCTCAAAGCATTTGCAAACGTGAAGAAGCACGAATGCTCATGTCCCCATTTCACAGGCATCAACACTGAGGCCACGGGAGAGACGTGACCTGCTGGAGGTCACCCAGCGAGTCCACACATGGGAGAAACTCAGCCGAATCTTCCAAGTCCCGGCCTAGCACTGTGCTACCTTTCTTAAAGAAACATTGTTGGGTACAAAACAATACATGTTCTTTCTAAGCACGTGCTCCCCGCCTGCTCCCTGCTGCAGGCCACACAGCCGTGCCCCGAGAGAACACAAAACCTGAACCGACTCCTCCCTGTAGCTAAGCTGCTGCTTTCGACACTGAATTCAGTAACAAGAACAGTCATTTGCACTCCTGCTCCCCGTCAGCTTCCTTCCCTGGTTCCCCAGCCTGTCCCACATCTGTGCTAGTGTAACTCTTGCTTTAAAATCCAAGAGCAAACAGAGCAAACCCTGGCCAGAGCCTGGATGCATTGCATCCCCTCGGAGCCATTTACACCTCTAAATTCTTTAACAGGATCTAGGCCCATGTGCTCAGACCACGTGTGCTTTCCTCTGGCTCCCTACCACCATTCAGCCTAGGGGGTGTTATTCCAAATATTGCCACCTGGAATAATTTGTCATTGCTTTCTCCTGCAGGCAGCAATGTAGCTTTATCCAGGCGAGAGCAGCAGGAAAAAAGCAGGCTGGAGGACTGGGGTCTTGACACAGAAGTATAAAGTTTCCAGCTAGTTTGGTTTGGACACATATGATTTCTGTGGCTTCCCCTGTCCCCAGAGGATGCTGTCTTCACAACCCACCTAGGGACCCTGCCAGCCTGCCACACCGTGACCCTCAATGGGTGACCTGCTGGTCTAAGTGGCTGGCTTAGATGGCACCCATTGCTGCTGTCACCAACAAGCCTGGTCCCCAGCTCCTGTCCCAGGAAGATCCAGCTCAGTAATGACCTGCCACAAGGTAATGGCAACTTCTAATCTCCGTGCCAGGCACCTCCACGAGGAAGTATGGGGGATTGGACTCCCCACCCAGGTCCCAGGCAGAGAGGGCATGGTTAGCCCTTGTGTTACCTGTGGGAACAGACTTCCCCAGGCAGCAGAATCGAAGAGCTGGGCTGGAGCAGTCACCCTTTGGGAGAGGCAGGGGAGGACGAGGGCAGCTCTCCCCCCACCACCCCTGCACCACCCCTTGCCAGGGCCAGGCAGGACATAGCACTAGCATCTTACCTGGTGGTTGGAGACCTCTTCCTCCTCTCGCAGTGGACGGCGTCGAAGAAAGCCGCGTTCCAAAACCTCAGGGTGTGCCTGCAGGACAAAGAGATGGCACTTGAGACCAGGGCAGGAATGGCTTGGGGAGCATCTGCACGTGCAGGTGCAGTGTCCAGCCAAAGACTATGCATCTGAGAGGAGTGACATGAGCCCAGGAAGCCAGGGCACAGCTAGCTCCTTGCAGCCGCAGCTGAAGATGGGGCGCCGGTGCTTACCAGATGGGCTGCTGCTTCAGGTGCATGTACAGGTAGATCTTCTCCCCCTTCTTCTCCTCCTCGTCCTCGGGGCTCTGCATGGAAACTGCAGGGAAACACACGGTCATGCGCAAGGCTTCACATGCAGACTCAGCACCCCAGGGGCAAAGCTTCTCCTGGTTTCCGACACCCCTCCCATCTCCACCTCCACCGCTGGGATGCCACGTTGCTCCCTATGGCCGAGCCACCCCCTCCCAAGCCCAGATCTGGAGGGTCCTATAGAGAAGCCTGCCATGCTCACCTGTCTTCTGCAGCTTCTCCTTGGGCTTGTCCTCGATGTCCCTGCAGCACAAAGATCGTAGCAGTCAGAGCCTCTCTCTCTGCCATTGATGGATACCCCATCAAAGCCAGCTCCAACTCTGTCTGCCCATGCAATAAGACCCTTTCAAACGATGATGGCAAGGGAGAGCATCATTTATTTTCTAATAACCCAGCTCCTCCGGAGATGCTGCTGGGATGCAGGGCTGAGACACACGGGCTGAGATAGCTTGAGGTTGACTTGCTGTCAAAATACTCTGGCTAGAGCTCGATCAGCCTGGTGCAGGAGGTGGAAACCCCGGCCTGCCTGAACAAGCTTTCCTCTCCAGAGCCACCAGAAGGTCTCTGTGTGCTCCCCAACCACACTCTTTTCGTTATGATGCATGCACGTACCTCACACCCACTGGGCAGGATGGGGAAACCGAGGCACAGGGAGCTTGCAGGGGTTAATGGTGCATCCCCTTGATCCCACCTTCTGGGACGGCTGACTGGCAAAGACTAGGGTGTGCCCCAGGGTTTCATCTGGACACCTCCCCGTCCTGTCGTGGTCCCCTTCCCTCCACCCAACACATCCCCACAGCAACCACAGCCGACTGTTCCTAAGGCCAGGCAGCATTTGATTCTCTTTAATAGGCTGCAGGAGCTGGAAAGGACGAGCTGCCAGCAGCTGCGACCACCAAGCCACTGCAGCCAGCCACGCAGTCTGCAATCTGCTGCTCCCAACCCAAATACACAGGTCTTCAGAGATGGTGCAGCTCCATGCACCAGGGGGAAGGTTGATGGGGTATGTCCACCCCGCAGCTGGCGTGGGAGAACAGGAAAGAGGGGGTGTTGCTTGCAAGAAGCCCCCCAGAAGTGCTGGGGACATGGTGTAGATGCGCCCTATTGATGGTCAGGTCGCTCATCCATCCCGTTTGTCTCTACCCACGGGCTCCGGCACTCCCCACCCCCAGCACAAGCAGAGAGGACACTCATGAACTTGGTCTCCAGCCCCCCGAAGAAGCCTTTCATGTTCTCGGTCTTGGCCGACGTGTTCTTGAGGAGCCTCTCCGCAATGTCCTTCTTCTCGGCCAGCCAGCTGTTGGCTGACTTCAGGTACGAGTCGATGCTCCCCACGGGCTTCTCCTTCGCCTCGGAGGGCAATGTGTGCATTTTCCCTACGAGAAAAGGCAGCTCCCTTCAGCTGACCTCCCGTGGCAAGGGGGCACTGCCCTCCCCTACACGGCTGGGCTTGAGCGACAGGCTCCCCGAGCTCTTGCTCCACGTGATGGTACCTGGACAGGCCAGGCTTTTACCCAGGCATGGACTAAATCAGTAAGGTGAGACTGTCAGATGCCCAAACTCTGGGGAATTAATAGGGGCAGACATTTGCCAAGTGTCAGCTGCCCGTGGGTCTGCTCTTACCCGGAAGCAAGTGAAAGCGAAACAGCACTAATTGACTTCTTTCGTTATTCTTATATCATTCTTATATGTATCAGTCTTATACCATTATTCTTACATTATTATCATTCTTTGATGATTGTTTCATTCACTTCTTTCAGTCAAAGCTAAATGACCACAGCTCAGCACTCGATCCTCAAGGAAGAAGAACGGGCAGAAGGACAGGTCCTGTAGAGCAGCTGGTACCTGATAAACCCCTACCCACTTCTCACCCTGCAATGTACCTCCTCTCACCTCTCCTCACCCTCTCCGTATACCACGTCACCAGGTCTCCATGCAAAGAGCCCCCGAGACGAGCTGCCCCGAGCTCAGGACAAACCTCTGCATTTCTGCACTGGCTGTACCACGCGGGTTATCATTTGGGGGTGGCAATTTTAGGTGCTTTTGAAGATAGAGAGGGCTAATTTCCAGCATATGTGGAAGCCAAGGCATGAGGTTGCACCAGAGCTGGACACTGGGGTGTATGACACTAGGCCCAGTCGCAATCCTGAGATAAGCGCACTTCTTCAGCTAGCAACCCCCCCATCCTGCTTCAAGAGCATGTCTGACCTGCTAGTGGAGGGGGCTGGCAGCAGGGCCGACACTCCCCAGCTTGCTTTGGGACCAGAAGCACTGGAGACACAGTGAAGTAGCTTCTGCATAGACTGGCAGCCTGAATAGGCCACCCAGGTCCCAGCTGGCATGCACAGCCCACATTGAAGTCCACAACCCTGTGGCTTCACTGCTACTGGTACCCAAACTGGCTGGAGAGAAGCTGGCTCGGGTGCGTCTCCCAGGGTTGCAATCACACCTCTTGATTGCACTGCTGAGGTCGCTTTACAATGCCAAGTTGTGTCAACGCCCCGTCTCCTCCAGCCACAAAGCAGCCGGCCAGCTGGAGCCTCTTACCGATGTAGTAATACGTGAAGCACATGGTCATCAGGTTTTTGGCAGGGCCGAAGTCGTCCATCTGGTGACACCTGGAAATGGAGGGGGAAGAGGTGGAAGGATCAAGCAGAGGTAGCCAAACCAGCAAAACCTCATGCCTGGCCGGCGCTGGTCCCAGGAGCAGGAGTGTCACGTAGTTTGGGTCTGGGTCACACTTGTTATTAAGGATCTCATTTGGGAACGTACCCCAAATGAGAACGACACCCTGCATCCCCTCATCCTAATCCCCCCGGCTCCCTTGTCTGCATTGCACTCTGCTACTAGTAGTAGCGGTGGGAGGCATCTGCGGGTCTCGCACCCTGCTAGACCCTCTGCTTTCTAGCATCAGCCATGGTGCGCACTTTGCTCCCCCAGTATGAGGCTGCCAAGCTGAAGGACCTGCAAGCAAATTAGGAGCCAAGCAACCAGCTGGGAGCAAGGTGGGTGCAGTGGCTGGATTGGGCAGGTCCCACCAAAGACTGTGCCCTGCATTTAAGCAGGGCATTGACACCAACCACGAAGCAGCGTAGGGCTGAGGTTTGATTCAGCTGCAGCTGCTCTCCAGCAGCGGGGCAGCATGGTGGCTTTAATGCACCAGCAAGCAAGCATGAGGCACCCAAACGTATTGCTTTCCCATCCAGCATGACTTACTCGAAGAGCACAACAGCGAAGGACTGCACCAGCCGGTAGAAGGTCTGCTCAGAGACGCACTTGGAGTTGCAGCGCTGCAAGCACAGACAAAGCTGGCATCAACACTCGGAAGGGGAGGTGAAACTGGGAGGTTTCTTGGTCATGGGCTGCCCTCAAAGGCATGCCACAGAGCTGGCCTGGCCCATCAGGAGGGAGTTTCAAGCACACAATGTGTCTTGGAGAGTTTATCCAAGAGGACTGTCAATTTGGGGAGCTCTCTCCAAGGCTCAACCTCCCCGAGACTGTGATGGACACATCATCAGCGCAGAAGGCAGCGGTAGAGCAACAGCCTATCTTTGCCACGGCCCTCCCTCCTAAGACAAGATAGCCGCGCTCCCTCACCTGAGCGCTCACGTATCTCGCGAACCACTCCCGGCCTTTGCCGTTCTCGCCACTGCACAGCTCCCCGAACTTGGCCTTCTCCTCCTGGTCCAGGTCCTCCCTGCAATGGAAAGCACGTCCGCACTGAAACACATCCTCGGCTCCAAAGCCTGCATGAGTTGGCTCAGAAAAGTGCAATGTGTTGGGAAAGGCCCCGATTAGCAGCAAGGGAACAGCTCCCTGGACAGGACACCCCTGGTTTACTGCACGGCTCTGCTACTCCTGCCCCTCCTTTCTACCCCGGTCTGTGCTCCTCAATGCGGCGCTCCCGGATTTCATTTCTGCTCAGCTTCACGGATCGCTGAGCAGAGCATGCTTATTATGCAAGCGGCAACCGTGCTCCCAGGGCAAGCAAAGAAAGGCAGCACTAGAAGAAGCAGGAAACTCTGAACACTGTGTGCAAGGCACGGGGAAAATCCTACACTGCTCAGCTCTCCGCACCGCCTGTCCAAGGCAGATCATGCCAACCAGAGTAGGGGCTGCCAGGAAGACCATGGGGATGGACAGCACATCTGATGGGAAAAGACTGGAGGAGCTGGGCTTCATTCGCCTAGCAGAACGAAGGGGAGGGCTTTGCTGTCTATAAATACACCAGGCACAAGCCGCCGGGGGCTACTTGAGCTAAAGGACTAGGCTGTTGTGAGAACAAATGGTTCAGGCTAGAAAGGAGGAGGAAGGATCCAGCCTGCCAGAGCAGTGCGGCTCTGCAGCTGCCTCCTGGGAAGAGGAGCTTCCTGATGGAGCTTGTTCGGGCGCTGAAGGGATCCTGTGACATGATCCGAACGCCTGTGACAGCCGCTAAGCTGTTGCAATGGGGATTCATTAGCTCCTGTCACCCAGGACAGGCTGGGGGCTGGACGACACGGGCTGGAGGTGTTTGCAAGATGTTTGCCCCTGCAAGGGGGAGAGGTAGTGCCTCTACACCAGCTCCTCCTGCACAGACAGACATCAGGGATCCATGCAGGACACAGATGCCAGGGGTCCAGGATGGTTTCCCTCTGAGCAGTGCCAAGACGGGCTGGCCCCGTTTGATAGAGGAAGGCTCTGCAAAGACAGACCCGGCAACCCGGCTCCATCCATTTCTCTGCTCGGGGATTGCGGTCCAGGTCCAGGCAAGAGCAACCAAACAGCCCCCAGTAGCGATGGGTGACCAGTCCCTTCCTGGCCTGCTCTTCC